TGTGGATCTCCTCCAGGGCAGGCGGGAATCGAACTCATGAGGAACTGGTTTCAGCTTCTTTGTGCAGTGCTTTAACCCGCTGCGCCACCAGGGAGGGCCTAGATGCTAACTTTTAAGAAAGCTGTTCTATTAGACAAAGAGAATTGCTCCTTCTGCAGATATGTATATCCTATAGAAAACTACGGGAATGTCAACTGCAGGAGTATGGGTGCCTTGGTGGGGGTGTGGTGTGATAACACCTCTGAAGAAGTGGGACCCTGTACTCCTAAATCACACACAGCGTGGTGAATCACTGCTCTCTCAATGAAAGTAAGCACAATACTTTAGAGAACAATGTTGGTGTACAGATTGTATTCTGTGATGAACTTCACTTAGCATTATGTATGTTAAACAGATTTCTTAGTCCTCTTTCACTGGTAATCAGGGTTTCTTGTTGTTGCTGGGTGATATGGTTGTTTCTGTTTTTAATTCTAGGAGCTTTCATGCTTTTTTTATTTACACTCCCACCCTTACTTATCATCCACAAAGAACAATCAATCAGACATATCATGACGACCCCTATTTCAAGTCATTTTCGCTTTGCCTTTTTTTTTTTTAAGATTTGTTTAGTATTTATGCATACAGAACTGGGGCACAGGCACAGTGAGAGGATTCACCAGAGATAGAGTGGGGAGCAGAACAGGCCATGACGGACGAAGTGTTGCTAATGGGAGCAGCAGGCAGGTGTGGAGAGGTCTGCTGTGCCATGTGGTCACCTCTAGGGCCGGGATCGAGCTCATGATGAAGTGGCTTTAACTTCTTAGTGCTGTGCTTTAACCAGCTGTGCCACCAAGGAGGGCCCACATTTTGGCATTTTGCAGGTATGGATGGCCTTAGAATTAATCAAACAAACTGTGTGTGGTGAATGTTACTATAGCCCTTCTGGCAGTAAAAGCAGCAAATGCTTCAGATTGGAAGGCAGCAGAGAGGCAGGTGGGGGCTATTTTCAGACACTCACTCCAAGCACCATGAAGCACCACTGCGCAGATTCTGTGACCTCCAGACACGGAGAGGCGCTCCTGTCCCTGCCAGCCCAGACCTGGCATGTCAGCCCCCAGCCAGGCCCCCACACACAGCCCTGCGCCCAAACCAGGGCCCACGCCCCTCTTTTCCTGCACAGCTGTCAGCCTCATGCTGTCTCAAAGACTGATAAGAGCCAACAGCAATAACACATTCCAAAGAACACATCTGGAAATGGCACCTCGGCGTTATATAAAGAAAATCCACCACACCCGATGAGGTTTTCTTGAAGTAGAAATATTATCTTTTTTATTCCAAAAATAACTCTATGGTGGGACTGTGATGCTGCATAAAACGCATCCTAGAAGTGTTCACATTCAAAGCTGATGTCATACTAGCAACAGGGGAGCTGCCTGTACATTTAGTTTCTAAGGGGTTTTATGTATTTGCTTCACTGAGATATAAACAAACACTCTCTTCCCAGTCATCCCAAAGTTGGAAAACATCAGTTTGTGCATATTCACTGATAAAAGAATGAATTAGGGGAGAAAGTCTTTTCTATTCCTGAATCCCCATGGCGGGAAACTGAATGTAAAAGAGGAACTTGACATACCTTGATTTTTGCCGTTACTGTCATCAAAATCATAGCAGTTAAGGGCATTCCTTCTTTTAAGTTCTGTATTTCAAAGATAACTCAAGCAACCATAGCTTTCATTTCTCTGGTGTTGTTTCTAAAACTTTCATCTTAAAGATTTATTTATTGATTGTTATTTTTTATTGAAATAGCGATTCTTTTAGGATTGCTATTTCAATTCAGGAGGAAACCAAAAAGGCCAAGTAAGACACTGTAAAGCCTCATTAGGGGTGGAATTCTGAGGTCTCAGTAAAGTTCTAATCAATTATTCTACCCCAAAATTTAAATGCAGGCAAATCCATCGCATCCCCCAGGTCCCCAGACATCATCAGGCTCTGCCTCCCTGGTTCCTCTGTGGTCTTGGCCACATAGAACACTGTGTGAGAAGCTGGGTATAATCGTTCCATTTGCTCACAGTCATTGTGAGAACTAAAGGCAAAGCACTGAGTTCCTAGCTGAGAAAACAGGAAATATTCCCCAAATATTAGCTTGCATAGTGATTATGATAATATACCCAGAATTTAGATGACTTAAAAGCATGTTAAATCCGAGGCCTCCCTGTTGGCATAAGGGGTTAAGTTTCAGCACTAGGAAGCTCTCAGCAGCCACTGTGGCAGGAGTTCAATCCCTGGCCAGGGAGCTGACCCACGTGGCACAGCAGATATCTTCTGACCCACCCGCTTCTCCCCTCAGCAGTGTACTTCAGTCAATCTGCCTATTCAAAAAGAAATTATTAATATGTTTAAAAAATAAAAATCAGATTCTTGAGACATATGCATTAGAAGAAATTTTAGTTGAAAAGTGAAAAATACCATGAAAGTTGTATAATCCTGTGATGTTTTTATTACTGAGAAATTTACCTCCGATCCTTTATAGCTCTAATTTATATTAGCTGACGTGGAATGGTCTCAGGGCCCGAGAGTGTCTACCTGGCTAATGTTAAGGCTTGTGACGGCGTCGCCGGTCTAGGTAAAGTGTAGTCCCTGGGCTTGTTCATATGCTGGTCAAGTTAGAACGCAGCGTTCTTGCCTCGCAGTCCCCAGTTTCTGCCTCCCCAGTACACTGTGCTTGAATCTGGGACAGGGGCCCCTCCCTTCCCTAGATGCTCTCTCTGCCTGTCAGCAAGAGGCCTGACAACGCACCTCTCTCAAGCTGTCACCCTGTCCCAGCACCCTCTCAGATCACTCGATGGCGTGGTGCAAGAGTTCACACCTCACCTGGCTGGAGAGTCAAGCAGGCGAGAACAAGTGGAGCCCTGTCTCTACCCCTGACCTCCCTCTCCGGGGCATGCACGGCGACCCTGCCAGTCCTCACGCGATGTCTGCGCGAGCCGGAGATGTGAGCCGGTTCAGCCGGGCACACGGCCCTGCAGCAGATCCTTACTGGTCCCCTGGCCAAGCAGCACTCACCAGGAGCCCCAGGGCGCCCTGCACGTGGCCCTGCGCCCGCCACTGCTCCCTCAAGTATGGCCTTCTCACAAGGCCTGTGCTCAGAGCATGGGCTTCTTTTATATTTTGTTTCCCAGTTTTCCCAAGTGTCTTCTAGAGCTGAGCTTTACACTAGCTTTAGCATCGTACTGAGAAGGGCTCTAAGTGTAAATAAAATACTCACTGGATTTATAAGGTGGTATGAAAAAAGGAGTGTGACATATATCATCCATAATTTACTGAACGCTTCTGAGATGCTAACAACCTGCATAGGTTGGGTGAAATAAAATGTTAAAACTAATTTTGTTAAGTTTCTTTTCATGTCTTGTAAAGCAGGGCACCGAGCACACGCGAGCACACCGCGAGTCAAATGGGGACACGCGTTTGCGTGCACATTCTGTTCTGTTGGTGCGGCCTGCCTTCAGGTTGAACGAACATGTCACTGACGCTGGGACCTGTTCTCTACGCCTAAACAGGAACTGGGGTACAGGTTTCAGAAGCCTCTGAAGAGCCCAAGTTGACACCATGCCACGGAGCTATAGCGTCCTGCATGCGACTTCTTCCTAACCCATGTGCTTCTCCCTCTCTGTCATCCTAACAGCTACAAGGTCTCCTTCCCCACAGCAGGGAAGGATCACAAAAAAAAAAAAAAACTGTGAGGAAACTGATGAAAAGCTGATAAACAGTCTAGTTGATTAACAGCTGAAAGGCGCCATTGGGCAGGATTATATACTTCACTGTGACTACACCTCAGAAGGTGGCATAGCACACACTGGTATCTACTTGGCTACATGAGCCACCATCACCTTGGGTGCATTCAGCAGGCGCTGCTTGAAGAGGCAAAGAGGAGTGAGTCACCGAGACCTGACATCAGCCATCCCTGACTTTGTCACTTCTCACAGGAAGAACAACTATGCAGGCACTGGGCACCACTGACAGAGCGCAGCAGGATAGGGCACCTCCAGCACCTCAGAGACCAGGGGAGGGTTTGAGAAACGCTAGACACGAGACCACCAGGAAGATGGGTCACATCGTGCTCCTCATTCCACAGCATCTGTGAACCGGGTCATCCGTGCCCTACGACCTAACTTCAACATGCTGGTATTTCTCAATAAAAGGGGGGAAAAACTGCACAATTAAAAATATTATATCTGAAACAAACATAAAGAGTGAAGAAATATATGAGTCGTATCTGAAAGATTTGCAATAAAAGAATGCAATTCATGTTTTTAAATTGGAGCGCTGAAAAGCTACATTTGTAATGTACTTAAAGGCTAATTTGGTAATGGCAAAACCAATGGCCAAAATATTAAACTTTTAGGTGCTTTTGGAGTGTCCAAGTAAATATCCTGATAATTAACTGATAATCTATTAGCCAATGATACTTAATTGGTGTTCAGAATGTGTCATTTTTCTCTGTGCAGAATATTGTGTCCTCTGAGGGTGTCTCAATGCTCAGGCAAGCTGAGTTCTTCTTATTTAGCCCCATTCTTGCTATGATTGAGACTTAGCTCAGTAATCTACTCGTCAGTGTTTTGAGTTCTGATGGGTCATAAAATGTTTTCATTCTACCATATGATTGCAATCATTTTTAGTGGCCCTCATTTTTATTCAGTGTTTCTAAAAATATAAAATAGTTAGCAAATCAAAATCATGGTATGTTTCCCAATTCAGTCAATACATATATCATAATTTGCTAATTTCAGGGACCGAGTTAGGCAATTTAGAGTGAACAAAATAAAATCTTTGCTAACATGTTTAACACTTAATTGGAGTGTGGAGATTTTACTAATATCTAATACCCATTCTATTTTTTATTATTAACACATCACTTTGATTCTGTCTCAATGGGAATTATACGCAGATTCTCTTCTGCCTAGGGACTCAGCTCTTCTCAGGGTTATGTCTATCACTATAGCAGTCGGGATTTCCCAGAATATTCTTGCTTTTCAGAATTGAAGATCTGAACCTTTGCCCTTTACTCTTCCATCCTGGACTGAGATTCCTGAGGTGCAATGGTGAGACTCTCAGACTCAAGAACAGAAGGAGCCAGAAAATGGGAAACACCTGATTGAAATCCCTATAAAATACCCCAAATCAGAGAAGAGACTCATTGTCAAGTTGAATTAAGATGCATTCTCCAGGAAATGAAATAAAAGGGAAAGTGGGGAAGTCTATAGAATTATGGAAAGACGTCTTTAAGATTTCAAACAAGGGGGATTTGACATAAAGACAGTGGAGAGCGGGCAATTTGAGGAGAAATAATTAAGCCAGCTCATGGTTTGTGAGCTTCAGAATACCAGTGGAATTCCTCAGTAACATGATGGACTAACCTTGAGAATAGCTACTGACTTCAGAATGTCTTAGGCTGTATGAATGTGATGGGAGCTGGCGGCACAGGGCCCAACCTGCACGGGGACTCGAGGCTGGGGGTGTTTGTGAGCCAGGGCATGGGTCCCGGTTTCTGAGTGCTGAGGGGGGAGAGGTCTGGGTGAGTGGGGAGCAGCCTAGACCGAGAGTCATGTGATTGTGGCAATGAAGGCTGGGGCCGAGAAGAAAGTTTCGGTCTCTTTGGAGAAGTCCATGTCTTCTGGGCATAATGAGTAGTGGTGCACCCGAGAGGAACCCAAGAGTTGGGAGAAGTAGGAGAGAAACAGCATTAAGTTTCACATGAGTCCCCAGAAGCTGCAGGAGGAACGCGTGAGTGCCACAAGCTGCTCCCTCAGAGGAGTGTCAGAGGAGAGATGCTGCCCCCTTCTAAGCCACGGGTCTCCTGTGGCAGGAATGGGAGGCAAGAGTTGCTAATGAGGCAACGAAGGTACCTACTACAGAGCCTCACGCTCTCCAGAAGAAGGCTGTCGATTGACGTTCAAGGAACATCAGGCCTTTCAGTGACCTCAGCCCCAGACCCCGGAGACCCAAGGTCTTCTGTACTTCCTTCTCCCTCAGTGCACAGATCTGGGGGCTCAACACCCTGGGGCTTTTTCAGGAGCTGCCTCATCCACTATAGCTTCGTCTAAGCAAAAGGTACCCACGACTTTCCTGCTCTTCCAATTTGTGAGGCCAGAGATGTTTCAAAAGTAGCAGGAAACCTCAGAAGGATTCCCACCTCAGCTTTGACCTGCATCCCAGTGTCTAAGCAGCACAGTGTGTGCGGCCTCAAGCTCTGGCTAGTTGGTCAGCCCTCTGCCTCCTGTGGCCCCAGACACGTTAGCAATGTATCACATCTCAACTGCTTGCAGGACACTTTCCAGATTCATCTTTAGCTTACTGAACCAAACCTGAGTGCATGTGAGGATGGCGTTTAGGAGATCAGAAATGAATAGCATAGATTCAGCGGCGGCGGGGGGGTGGGAGGTTGTTGGGAGGGGCAGAGGCCTCTTGGATCACCAAACCCTGTTCAGTTCATTCCATTCTGTTTGTCTCTGACTAGGCAGGAGGCCAGAGGAAACCCAAGTGATTTGCGTATCTGTGCCTTTTGGAAACATAAACACTTACCCCAACCTCTGATGGGGGATCCTTATGCTCAGGGAGGGCACTGGTTCGAACCTAGAAAGAAAAACAAGTATGTTCTGTGTGACTGTGGAGAAGAAAGCAGAGCTGCAACTCCCACAGACCTGGGCTTCAGCCTCCTTCATCAGGTGCTCATTGCGCTCCTGGGTTAATCATTACTGACGCAAACATCCGGGCGGCACTGGGAAGCTGTCCTTTTTATTGTCCCATTTCCTCAGTACACAGAGCTGCCTGGGCTCCCACCATCACCCTTTGTGCAATGCCGACGCAACTGCCTGGTAGGCACAGACCTCCAGCTCAAAAAGCGAACCCCAGGCAACACTAAAAAGAAAGATGCACGGTGGTGTAGGGCACCTCGTGTGTGCACAGTGAACACATGTTCTCGGGAGGCACCTCAACTGCATTCTTCACGGAAGCCCACTGAGGCAGCCTGACTGACAGTCAGACGCCACTATCTATATCTGTATTCACTGGAAACATAACTCTCAGTCGGGGGGGAAGGGGGGCCCCAGGGGGCTTTCCCGGAAGTTAAAATTTTCCCACTTGAGAAAATGCTGGTCAAAGCAAGAAGAAACATAAAAGCTGAGTGTATCTTAACTTGAAGAAGGATGAGATAAAACTGCCACATGAGTACAGGGCCATGGAGGGACATTCTGTTCCACTGGCAATTGGGGTGCTGTGGGAGGGATGGGGTGAATTCAGTCAGGAAAGCTCAGTGGGTCGCCATTTCCTGGGGTCACCTGAGCAAAGTCCCTTTGGAGAGTGCCAATCATTGTTCTCGTCAAATGGAAAGCCATGATTTCACAGATACCTGGCCAGCAGGCTCAGATGGCCCAGGGGGAAGAGAGGCTTATAATACAACACCCACAATGCTGTCCAAAAACTGGGACCAGCAACTCACGAGCTGCTGATCTTTCGCCTGTTCCCCAATTCCTTGAAAACAAACCATGCCGTGGAAATCCTGCATTTTTACTCCCAGCTCAACGCTGGTTCTTTGTGACAGATTAAGCACTTGCACAGTTTGATGGTCACGATGACTCAGAAAACTGTTCATCAGAACACAAAACAAATGGCAGAGGATCCCACAGAGTGAGCAACACGATTTACACCACACATTCTGCTCAGGACTTCAGGAAACTTGGGCTGACAGTATCGAGGTCTCTGGCCTCTGGTCTCAGGATGTTCAAATGTACCATTCCTACTGCCCGGAAATCACAAACTGGCCCAAAAGGTTAAGACACAGTATATGAATAGTGGGTCATAATGGAATTTAGTGTGTGTGTGTAAAAAACTCACATGTATGTATGCGGACTTACAAGTAATGAACTGAACTCCACACGTGCACAACCCTGCACACCATATGAGTATAGTGAAATTATGTTAAGAATATGTTTGAGCCAAACAACACTGTTGGGATATAGAAATAAAGTGAAAAGAGTGAGCAATTAGAGAGGGTCAGCATGTACAGAACTACATGCAGTATCTGATTAAATGCAATAAACTATTGCACAAAGGGAGAAAAATACTAACATTTCCTGCAACATAGTCCACTGAAACTTCTAAACTTAAGGTGATTTTATCACCAAACACTTATAAACACGAATAAGCAACAGAGGAAAAAAAAGATTTATAATCTAAAGTTTATGACAAAATCTTAAGATATTCATAGATTAGTTTGGCATATCTAATGTGTGGGGGGGGAGGAGGAAGAGAGAGAATGAATGTCATTTTACATAATAAAATTATTTTTGAAAAGTACACATATGTCATGTTTTCCTAAATCGAGGTATGTTGAAATCACTATCAGAGCTCCTGATTTAGAACTCCTGATTTTCAAACTTTTATAAACCATCTTAAATTTATAAAATGAAATTTTCATAAGAAACATTTGTCTAAATCAGTACATAATACAGTTCCAAACTTATATATTTAAGGTCAGTAGTACTGATGTTATGATACATAGGGGGTACTTGTCAATGATGCTTATCTTACATAAGATTACATAAGAAATATCCCTTGGGATAGTGAGCACAAACTAGTGGCCAGAGAATTAAGTTCCCACTCCTTCTCTCTGAGGCCACGGAGCCTAGGGCAGGGCAGAGTATGAACCATCTGGCCATGCCGTAAGTGCTCTAATGCAAATACGGACTGTAAGGCATTCGAGTGAGGAGCAATCACGTCAGCTTGGGAGTATCAGAAGTGGCCTCACAGACAGATGTGCGAACCTGGGTCTTGAAGGATGAATAGGAGTTTTAAGAAAGGAAGAATATGGCAGAGCGCCCAGATGTCCTGTAACAAGCATGTGTCACAGAGTCGTAAAGGCCCAGTCGTGTTTGGGAAAGGGTGACGATGACGATGAAGCTGGGACATGGGAACCCTCAAGAAAGTGATGAGAACTCAGCTGTGCCTGGGAAAAAGGGTGGGCCATTTACAGCAGGGGGCTATCTATCATGCCGTGGAAGCAGGGTTTATGCAGTTTTCTTTATGCAATAAGACTTCAGGAAAGAAGAGTAACATGATCAGAGCCCCCTGACTCACCCAACTCTGCCTGTGTCACGCAGGGGAAACCTCTCGAGCCCAGTTACCTTCTGCATTTTGTCGGTTTATTTAATACAGGGTTAATGATAGATAGTATAGGCTGCTGGACTATATATTTTTAGCACTTCAGTACTTAACCCCGAGAGGGAAGTAGGAAAGAGATGTGAAAGAAAGGTAGGAAGAAAATAAATGAGGAGAGAAGGGAAGGACAAAGAAAGGCAATGGAAAGAAGACAGGGAGTTGGGGGGAAGAGAGACTAGGCCACTGAAAAATAAAGCCTCAGACGTATTTAGATGAGAGCTCTTGATGGAGAAGGGATGAAACAGGGGCCACCAGTGTGACATCTGGAACATTCCAGCTAATCAGCAATGTCAGGCCTCCTGAGACTGGACTTCCTTAGGAAGGCAGGCTCCCTTTTTTGGTCATTTTAGCAGTTCTTCTCCCTGTTTTTCTTCACCCAACCCCTTTTTGTCCCTTCCTGGAATATAAGAGTCTGCCTGACTACACATTTATAGTTCTTATAACTCCCTTTTGTCTAGACATTTATGATATTAAATAAAGCAAGGCAGATCAATAAATAGGAGTCATCAGATAGAAGATTGTATATTCCCTGTTGAATATTTCTCAAGGTTCCTGTAAAACAAATTCATTTCCTTCTCTAACAACTTCCTAAGTTCAAAATTGGACGTACTAAATTCACCTTGGAAAACAGAACCAGGTAGCAGGTAGTGAGTCACTCTCCATTTGCATCAAGCCCCTACAGACCAGCCCCCCACGCCTTGGCCGTTCCCAGGCCAGAGGCTGTCTGGGCCACGAGTGCAGGTAGCATGCTGAGCATGGTCTGGAAACGGCCCATGAGGGGGGCTGCCTGCCACCCCTGCCACCTGCTAATGCCCTCACCTGTTCTCTACTGCTGTGCCACAAACCATCACAGACTCGGTCACTTACACCAATCTCCCTTCCTCCGTGGACGCTCTGCAGGCCAGAAGTCCAGCCCAGTGTGTTTCAGTTCTCCACTCCAGATTTACAGGGTGGAGATCAAAGTTGGCTGCGTCCTCACTGGAGACTTGGCTAGGAGCTTCCAGCTCTCGCAGGCTGTTATCAGAGTTGTTTCTTTCAAGCCTGAACTGACGTCTCCATTTTCCTGATGACTTGCTATTGGAAGCTGCTCTAATTTCCTGCCCACATTTCTTGTCATGTGGCGCCTCCATTTTCAAATTCAGCAACTATTTTATGCACATCAAATCCTTCCTATACTTCAGATCTTGCTGAGTTGTGGGCTCTTTGAAAGGCACACCTAATTAGGTCAAGCTCTGTCCAGACAATCTGTTTTATGACAACTGTGCCATGTATCATCACGTACTCACAGCCATGAAGATCCCAACTTTTAGTTCCAGGAGTTATGCAAATAATAGACTACTTTGGGCCGATCTCAGGCACCAGCCTGGCATCCTGCCCACTCTAATAATCAAGAAACGCCTGTGTTGCTAAGGCACCTGAATACAGGTTCACATGTGTTTCAGCAGTCAGCCTGACTCAGACCTCCCATACGTCTTTAATGAAACTTTGGACTTAATGTATGACTATAAACAACGTGAAAAAACTAAGGCTAAATTCTAACTCATTAATGACAGTACACATGTATTGACTAGTTATTATGTCTCAGTCGCTATTATAAACACTGCAATCTCAGACATTAAGAAGATAGGGTGTTTCTTGCCATGTTTAGATATTGATTTCCCAATTGTTTAATTTTGTTTTGGATTGAGAAAATTATCCATGTAAAAATTTAAGTGATATAGATCACATAATCTTAGAAATCCAATGAATCTCAGAGCTAACAGAAAAACCGCCTCTACAAATTAATCTATTTTATCTGAAATCTCCCTGGGGAGATAATTTAAATTTTCTCTTTGAATATATTTAACCTGCAATTTACTATCTCACCTGTCACTTATTTAGGATTGCAAACTCACAGCCTCAAAGGTTCCAAGCAGGTTAAGTTAATAAACAAAAGTAGACTGGTGTAAGAGAAGTAGGGACTGGAGAGGACTCTGGCCAAATGGAATTTCAATTCCCAGATAGTAAGAAAAAATAATTATCTAGCTCCAAATGATTAAAAAAAAAAAACTCCGAGAAAAATTTCCTCAAATATCAAACAACCAAAATTAATTCTTTGTTGGGTGAGCTACTTTTAGTACTGACTTAATTTTGCCTGGAAAATAAGATGAGAGATCAAAGCATTTCCAGTACTAGTCTCATGAAAAAAATTACTGCCACACAATATTTGTTATTAATCACTTTATCTTGGCAACACCTCAGAATCATCTGAAATATTTTTTATGACAATTTCTAGCCTACATTCTAGAATAACGAAATTGGAATTTCTGAGCAAAGGATCTAGACATCACTCCCCACTTGATACAAAGTGTTACGAAAGTTGAGAATTAATTCTTTAGAATAAATGAGATTATTTTGTGTGTTTAATTCCAAATCAC